GGGAGGGGGAGGGTGAGAGGGCGGGGGAGGGTGAGAGGGCGGACTCACCTCCTGTGTTGGCCGTACCTGTAACAGTAATCCCTGAGGAGGAACCTGTCAGTCGCAGCCCTGCGGACAGTCCTGCCCCCCCCACCGAGGGCTTCCTGTCAGGAACAGCCAGCCCCTCGGCCGAGTCTGCGGGGGAGTGTCTGGGAGACTCACCTCACCCGCAGGAGCCCGGCGCCGCCGCGGACCTAAAGAAGAGTTTATCAGAGAAACGCAGAGCAAAAGAAAATCGCGTCACACGGAAAACTGTGAATCTGCCGTCGAAGCACAGGCTGCAGGAGCGGAGCGTGGCTCTGGACACGGAGACGGAGACGGATTCGACTGCAGAGACGTCACCGACACCACAGGCCACGCAGTGAGTTTCTCCCTCCCTCTGTGCTCAGTCTTTGTCAGTTCCTGGTAGAACCAGAGAGCGGAGCTGTGAGGAAACCTGAGCTCTGAGATCCATGTTCCACTGTAGCTGAGCGGAGCAGTGGAGCAGTGGAGCAGCGGTGACGGAGCAGGTGGGGTTCTGGATCAGCCCTGCTCTGTTTACCCACACAGGTTCACGCAGGCACACAGAATTCTGGGTAGAAAGATCAGAGAACATTTGGACTTAGCAGAAACGACAGGGAGTGAGGGAACATTCCAGAGTCAACATGGCTGAGCTCGCCGCCGTCGGAGGACGGGGGAGATTGATGTGTAAACGTCAGCTCAGCTCATGTACGACTGAAGAACGACTTCACCGTCCTTTTATAGTTTACTAGAACTGTTTCAAATTCACACAATTCAAGAAATCCAAATGTTTCTCAACAACAAACAAAAACACAGTCGTAGATTTGACTCTGATTGGACGAGGTGATCAATACAATCAATACATTGAAATATCGCAATATTTCGATTTATTAATATATATTCTTCTCTCAACACTGGGACTACAGTTATACTGGGAGGGGGGGGGGGGGGGCACATAGTTTGCCCTGTATCGTGATACGTATCGACAGATTCTTCCCTAATAAAAACCCAGGTCCAGTGTAAAGTTCGTGACTTGAACTGGTGACTTGAACTGGTGACTTGAACTGGTGACTTGAACTGGTGACTTGAACTGGTGACTTGAGTCATTTTTAATCACTGTCTTATTTCTACATGGTTGTGTTTTCTGACGCTGACGTCTCGCCGTCTCTCCTCTGACAGACGTCCAGGTCTGAGCGGTGACAACGATGCTGAAGTCCAGGAAACCAAGCTCAGGTCTGCGTCCACCACAGAGGACCATGCGCACGGTGACACCAGCGACCGTGGGAATTTAGTCAAGGACAGGACTGACTCGGAGTGCTCGGACTTCGATGACCCCTCCGCGACCTCTGACATGTACAAACCTAAACCACAGGTCTTGGCGTCTGGGAGAGGAGAGTCCCACCAGACCACCGCCACCAAACGAACGACCAAACTCGTCACCAAGACCGCGTCTTCTGCAGCCGGAAGCAGAGTCTGCGGCGTCTCGGCGAAGACGACCGTCTCCACGGACGGCGCCAGAATCTCTGCCACGACCACAAAGGACCAGAGTTCCCCCGGCTCAGAGAGCACCAAGTCCAAAATCCCTAAAAGGACCCCGTCGGACTCTGAGGTTAGATCAACGCTGACGCCTGATAAGGCAACGCTGACCAACGACTCGTCCAAACTACAGACGCCGTCCAAGACCAAAGACTGCAGACCACTGACCGTCACAACCAGAGTCGCCAGGAAGACCAGTTCTGAGGAAACCAAGGAGGACAAATCCCCGTCAGGAGAACCTTCTCCAACCAAGAACACGTACAGAAAGGTAACCAGGCCAAAGGAAAAGTCCAGTGAGGACACCAGTGTCTCCGGTGTCCCGGGACGGGACGTTAAAGCTCCTGAGAAGGAGAGTGTCCACGTGAAGAAACTGCCCCACGCCCCCCCAGACAACACCTCAAAGAGCCGGTTGCCCATTTCATCTCCAACAAGGAAGAGTAGTGAAGAAGCAGCTCATGTTAACGTCAGTGTCCACAGAAGACCTCCGTCTGTCCAACCAGACGCAGAGAAGGTCCAGAGGACTTCCTACAAACAGGAAGTGGCACTTGGAGCTGGACGTGGTGGAAACGTCTCCTCACTGCTGCCGGAGACGTCCACGAAAGGTGAGAGAGGGGTTTTCTGACACACTACTGCCTCTACTGGCCATCCCCAGTCACTGGGGGCGACACCGACGATCTAAAATGTTTTCATCAAAAACACAAAAGTGTCGTGTTGTCGCCCCCTTCAGTTGCCCTGAGAGGTGGTAGAAAATCTCCATCCACTGAAGTGTCTCCTGATCCCAGATCAATGTCCTCAGTCATTGATCAGTTCTTGATTTTTTCCAATATTCCTGGTGTTGGTTCATGTTCTATTTTTCCTCTAGTGATTCCAAATGGAATAATGACAAAAAAACACCTCAGTATGTCGTCCTGACTGTAGTATCACAGTGTGTCGTATCCTGATAGGTATGTTATGGTGATAGGTATGGTATGGTGATAGGTATGGTATGGTGATAGGTATGGTATGGTGATAGGTATGGTATGGTGATAGGTATGGTATGGTGATAGGTATGGTATGGTGATAGGTATGGTATGGTGATAGGTATGGTATGGTGATAGGTATGGTATGGTGATAGGTATGGTATGGTGATAGGTATGGTATGGTGATAGGTATGGTATGGTGATAGGTATGGTATGGTGATAGGTATGGTATGGTGATAGGTATGGTATGGTGATAGGTATGGTATGGTGATAGGTATGGTATGGTGATAGGTATGGTATGGTGATAGGTATGGTATGGTGATAGGTATGGTATGGTGATAGGTATGGTATGGTGATAGGTATGGTATGGTGATAGGTATGGTATGGTGATAGGTATGGTATGGTGATAGGTATGGTATGGTGATAGGTATGGTATGGTGATAGGTATGGTATGGTGATAGGTATGGTATGGTGATAGGTATGGTATGGTGATAGGTATGGTATGGTGATAGGTATGGTATGGTGATAGGTATGGTATGGTGATAGGTATGGTATCGTGATAGGTATGGTATGGTGATAGGTATGGTATCAACAGATTGTTGCCAGTTCACAGCCCTAGTCCAGTGTCTCATTGTCCCCTGGTACTAGATTGAAGTAGGTCAGGGACAGAGACTGACAGACTGACTGACTGACTGACTGACCCTGTTACCCTCAGATCCGTGTCACCATGACAACACTGTCTTCACTTCATTGTATATTTATTGAAACTCGACCCTAGGGAACGGTCAGTACTGGTCAGTACACAGATGAAAACACTGGTACTCATATTGGTGCATTTCAAAAATTGTTCAAGTTCTGACCCAATCCTTACAGCATGTTCAAGTGCCACGTGTGGCCCCCGACCCAGACCTTTGACATTAGGCTAATAATAATAATA